AAATATCGAATATTTGACTTGAATTTTGTTAAAAAATCTAGTCGATGGATCGATCGACTTTTCATACGAAATAATTCCATTGGAATATGTTTTATATAAGATAATCGAAACGAATAAAGATGAATTGATCGATAAAATAAATCTTGTAATTGAATAAATGTCGAATCAGTATGTCGTAATGTCACATTGAGAGATATTAATCGATTTAATGATGAAATACATGAATTAAAATCTAATTGAAATGGAAAACTCATTTTAAGATGATGTAGATTTGGAAAACGAGCAGAAAACAAAATCGAATCTTTTGATAAATCATTTTCGGAATTCTCATAAGAAAGTGTTTGTACACGATCATATGACCAATAATGTTTATCGTTTGGAGAAGTCGATTTAGTAAAGATTGAATCAAAATTAAAACATTTATCAAATCTATAAGGTAAAGTATAGAGAATAGCATGATTAGTAATATTAAATGGATTCCAATCACATCGAACAAACCATTGATGTTCTTCAATCCAAAATGAACTTCGAAATGAATCGATTAATTCATTAACTTGTTTTTGAATATTCTTATGAGGAGAAAAACTTAAATTCATTTTTAATCGAAACACTTTTAGATTTCCTAGATAATTGACAAGTATTTGTTTCCATTGACATCCATTACAATTTATTTTCACTGTTTCCAATGTTAAATGACGCAAATTAGGAAGCTTTTTAAAAAGACTTATCATTGAATCTATTGAACTATCAAAGAAAGTTTTTAATGAAGTTAATGATCGAATAACAATTTCCAATTGTTCAAATTTAGAACACGATATACTATTTACGGTCAATCGTCCAAGACATGGACTACGTTCAAACAAATTAGACAAATCTTTTAAACTACAAATCATTCTTTCCAAAGATAACTCTTCAATTGATGATGACATCATCGACAGTTCATTTAGTCGGATTTTTCTCGAATTAATTTGATCTAATAAACATTTTCTAAGTTTTGGTAAATTCAAAATATTATTTATCAAACAATGAAAATCATTTTCTTCACTATTAAAATAACATTTGATCAGTTTTAAATCAGTTAAATATGTCAGATGATTGCATTGAACTATTATTTCATTTAATATATCAAAACAATCGATATAATAAAGTGAAAGAGATTGTAAATTAATGAATTTATTCAGTGTATAACCACAAGAAACAAATAAATATGATAAATCTGGTGTTTCATCATCATTTGAAAGATGTATCGATAAAATTTTATCAGAAATCAACCGAAGATAATTTTCAGTAATGATGTCAAAACGATTTTTTGATAGAGATCGAAAATCGAGATGATAAAATCGAAAATGAATGAGAAGAAGCCTATTAACACGATAATTGAGATTATGAAAAGCATGAAGAAGATCAACACCATCTAATAATTCGAATATATCAAGAAATAATTCATTCGCCAAATCTTCAAACTTCATTTTATTTTGTACTTTTAACAAAATAAAAAAACTCTACTTGTGCATCGTTGTTTTCAAGAACAGAAAAAATCATTTTCATTTTTATTTTCTACTGTTTGTTTTTTTCGTTCTCTGTCCTTATCGAACTTTTACTTCCATATAAAACACTTTCTTTTACCTTATCAAATCATTTTTATTTTTTCTCTAATTAAAAGATAACAATCATTGAATAACTTTTTTACATTAATCATCGAAAATGTGTGTAAGTTTTATAAATAAGGAATCCTATTTAAAATCGCCTCCTTTATCTATTTTGTATAATCATATCCTTTGGATTCTTGTAGATTCATAGCGCTGAAACATAATCATGAATCTCGTTTTGCTTCACTTTCTTATTCGTTAAATAATTCGAGAAAAGGGTGTGGATGTGGGTGAAGAGAAGATCGATACACATTCACACTCGCACCCACATCCACCATTCTGCTAATGTTTCATCATCAGTTGGAAAACAATAAATTTTAACACCAGCTTTATTAAATTTATTAAATATATTTTGTTTAAAACGTTATATTTCACTTTGTGATATTGTATGAGATTTAACTGTAATTCATATTACATTAACTTTACTATTTAAATGTGTCATTGCAACTAAATCAAATGTTTTTAATAAATTATGTATGATATTAATAAAATATAAACAAACATGAGTATGTTTTTTTTTATAATAATTAGAAAAATCTCATTTCATTTTAAGTTCTTCATCTGAATATAATTAAAATTGTATATTAATAAAATCTTCAATAATTTTAAATAAATCATCTTTACTTATTTGATCATCAAAACCATTTGTTTCAACAATAGTTAATATTTAATGAATTTTATGTTAAAAATACATATGATATATCATGTGTTGATCATTTTAAATCTAATCATTTATTAAATAAACTATCAAGTAATGAAGACTTTCCATAAGCTATTTCATCAACACAAAAAAACTATATTAAAAATAAAAACAATTTGATACTGTTTTAATCATTATTTTGATTTGATAAATTATTAATACTACATTTGTTTTTTTTAATTCAAATGTATGAATTAATGAAGCCTAATTTTAAAAAAAGCAATCTATTTATAAATGAGAATAATTTAAGTTTTTTTATACATGAGATTTTAACATGGGGAGGTCAGAAGGATAAAGGGGATCTTTCATTCTTGTTTTTTTTTTTAAATATCTATAGTAAAGTTATTACAGAGATTCTTTTCGTAGTATAAGCAAGTAAAAACATGGCTTAATGATCGATGAATTCATTGGCATCATGTAAGTTACCAACAAATAAACCAATCGAAGAAAAGATCATTTTATTTCTGTATATTTATTATAATTATTATTTAATAATACATGACATCTAGAATTGAATCATCATATGATGACTGAATACTAATGGTAAAGTTTGATTTTTTTCTTTTCATAAAATACATAAAAATGATGATATATAATTATTTTTATTTTCAATGATTACCAACAACCAAAGATTTTCAGTCACTAGAAAAAGAGACAAGTGAACTTTCTGTTTCTTGATGTAGATGGATCTTGTTGATGCACAAAAATCTAAGTAGATGATATTATGAAAAAATTCATTAATTACAAAATTTCTCATAATAAATGAACATAATAAGCATTTTAGAGATTGGTGTAAAGTTTTTACTTACTATACTTAATTGAAACTCCACCATGGAGATCACAATCCGGTAATTTTTTGTGCCGGTCGCAAGTCCAGGAAAAGGATGAGCGTTAGACGGAAGGGGTGCAGATACCGCCTTCTGTAAAAAGAAAAAGAAGAAAGAAACCAATCATAAACGATCGATATCGAAAACCATACCGGCTCGGACGTCGCCCGAGTGAACAAGGTCCGCGTTCTTTGTCATGGAACCAGGACAGAATCAAAAAATTGGCTATGGGAACAACCATCCATACAAGAATAACAATAACAAAACACACAACAGAATAACGAAGAGCACATTGGCACCATCAACAACGATAAATAGATCTCCAGTACAAGCAAGAATCACTACAACAGCGACTAAATGTGACTTACAAAGACTGAAAATGACAAAAGACATTTTTATTGTTGGTACTTGGAATGTTCGAACACTATGAGCTGTTGGAAAACTAGAACTATTAAGAAACGGAATGAAGCGATACAAATACGATGTTATCGGCATCTCAGAAGTAAGTTGGACAGGAAAAGGTGAAGCATCAAACGGCGACTTCATCTGGTCAAGAGAAGACAATACACACACTAAAAGTGTTGGAATGCTACTCCATACAAAAGCAAGAACGTCACTTATGGGTTATAATTCAATCAACTCAAGGTTAATCACTGCAAGATCCAATGCGACACCTTTCAATATAACAATAATCAATGTATATACTCCAATATCCGATGCATCAGAGGACGACATCAAAGCCTTCTATGGCGACTTGGAAGATGCTAGAGTGTGTATGTGTGTCGGTGTCAGTATGAGTGTGACTATTGCTCTACTCCTAACATGCCTCACATCCTGAATGTGCCTGACTATAGACTGAGACTTTGATTTAATCAAGATGCGAACATCTGCAAGCTGCGTATAATAAAAATACAAATATCAAAAACAAAATCTCTCCTGAAAATCCTTCTAAGTCGTCATTACATAGTGAGTCGATGATTGAAAATAACAATATTCATATTTCGAATGATGGCACGAGCCTATTAAATGCTTATATCGTAGAAGCAATCCTATATTGCTTTTACGACGCTTTTTTCTTCTATAAAGATTACTTTTTCGGAGAGAAATTAAGTATTTAAGTAAGCATTGGAGCAATATCAAATTTCTATTTAACGAAAATCACGAAGTGCGCTTCTTCACTTTCGGCAAATGCAAAAAAACATTGTCTCTGCATTAGATATAAAGATGGGTACCGTCGCTATTCGGTCTCATTTCAACACAAGCGATGGTTTCAACAGTAGTTCGTTGTTTCGTATTCGTTCTATTCAGGTAATTCTAAAATCTCTTTTTTTTCGATTTATCTAATGTTGAACAATGTTTCTTTTAAGTCTTACAGGTTTGATTCTTGTATCGTTTTATATGTCCTGCTATTAATTTAGTATATTACTAGTTCGAGTAAAATCTCAATTCTGTCATGGAATGTCTCAATATGATCGATGTTCGCCAAATAGTGCGTGTACCTGTTTCTATATAGCAGGTGCTATTGACATTGGCGTTTGTGGCTATGAATTCGTAGATTGTTCTGAGCTAGTTCCATGCGAAGGTTCAAACAATCTTTGTCTTGAACCTAGTCATAGATGTGTTCATCATCCTCGATGTCATGATCTTCCTGTTTGTTATCCGGTACCCAGTTTCAATCGACAACTCTGTCCACCAATAGCAAGTAAGAGAACAAACAATGATCTGCAGATTCAAGTGGACAACCAAACTTTCTTAAAGTTATTTCTTCATCTTTCACACACCCTCACATATACAGTTCATGTTAATGTAGGAGCAGTGAGGAAGAATCGAAGAGCCTTTGAAAAAGTAGATAAAGTATGTTAGAGACAAAATGAATTGTAATTATTGGAAAAATGTTTAGATCTCCACAAGAGTACAGCACTTTTATTATGCCACGTTTCTCTTTATTCATAGTTTGTGTTGTATACGTGACTGAGTTTAATGAATATTGAGTTCACTCGACAGCTTTTGTTTTTTGAAAACAACTGCAATCGACATCCAGCTCGATAGAAAACTCATTTATAATTCTCTCTTCCACGTTTTTAATGATTAACCTTGAGAAATTGATGACTGATTATTTGGCAGTGACACAGTAACCGCTAGAGCTTAAGAGGGCTTTAGCCATTCAATTGAATGAATATGCCACTGATTGTAGCACCACTGATTCAGTCGTCTCAGTCAGACAATAATAAGCGCAGAATGCATCTAACCAGTCCATCTTTGAAACGACTACTTCTTTTGAAGACTATGTCTGCGTGTATCAAACATTTGAGATTCCTTTCTTAAGAACAGAATGTCAAAATTCAAAACTGTCTGACGACGAGAGGAACGAAAAAGATTCAAATACCCCTGCACATTCATTTCATTCACACTGCTGCCGTGATGCTAGAATATTCTAATGATCTGAGATAAACTCACTGGCAGGTGAACACTTTATGTGAGAGGTTGAAATTAGAAACGTCACACTTCAAACAACGATTTTGTACTGCAATGACAGCCAGTGCGTTTCAATCCTTGCTTACATTTAAAATACAACAGAAGTGACGAATTTGAGCAAGACGGTCTCGATAGATTCAGTTCAATTCGATTCGATTTGATTTAATTCAACCGAATCACAGCGAATCGAATTGTCAAAAATTTTACGGAGTTTTCGGTCGCAGATAGATACAGAGGTTTTCCATTAAAAAAACAGTTTTGAAAGAAAAAAATTGATTATGAGATCATTTGAGACCTTCGATCTACTGTGCAACACTGCTTAGACGTCACCTAAAAGTTAAGTGTACCGAGTTCTATACTATATTCTATGCCAGATCTAAAACTAACTGCTTTGTTTACATAAATATTCTTTGATAATGAATAGCAACGAATACTACAACTGCAACTACAATTCCAACTAAAACGACAACTACAACAACTACTCAGCAACTAGGTAAGCATTAAATTAATGCTTGTTGACCTTGACAAATGCTAATTTTTACTCAAGCATATATAGTTCCTTTGTATGCAATATTACTCTGAAGCTAGTTAAAGGTAACATTGATAAGATCAGCGATCTTATATTATGAGTGATTAAATCTTTATCATAAGAAAAAAAATCAATCAATAGTAATCCCAAGTTGATTATTTTTTCGTCACTATTCAATTTTACTTCGTTTTGATGAAATCTACAAAAGGAAATCCATTCTTCCTCATTGTTTGATACTACTATATATGTTGCCTTTCAACTAAAGATACATTATTTCAATTTGATAAAA